TGAATTATTTTATGGCTTGGCAGTCGCCATAAGGATAATATCCACGGTGAGCTACATCTCTGTGCAAAATCTTCTCAAATGCTCAGGTAAAAACCTGACAAACTGACCATTTACGCAAATAATTCGTTTTGGCGCCGTTTTCGCGGAGTAGTAGATTTCTATCACTATTTTTGGGCTAAAGATCATGGCTTGCACATTCATTTGCCAAAAATAATCACGACTTTGCAATAAGTGGTAATACGGACCCAATATTCCGCGCAAAACGATGAGTGGATCCGTTTGGGGTGCGATTTTTGAGGGACCCACTCAAAGGATCTGCTCGTGCTTTGACATGGTGAACCTGGATGGTGGGTGTGCGTGCTGTGCAAAAAGTTGCGGCTTGATACCTTGTCTGCGACTCGTTCTGTGAATTTCGTTGCAGACAGACAGACAGACAGACAGACACACAAAAACACGTAAACACCCTTAGCTCACCATTATAAGTCATGATATCTATAATTTATATCTATAAACTTCTATAGCTCTTTAAGGAAACTAATTGTAGTGTCCAGAATAATTTAATAACACACAGAATTTAATGATAGATGGAAATCTTTTCCAATCCTTCAAACTTAGTTTCAGCTTCATTGAATTTTTTCTTACCTTATTTCAAATTTTATTTCACAGTCTATCATTTTCTTCTGTCTTTCCGAAACTAGCATTCTTTTTCATTTGTTTTCCAGTTTTATAAAAGTTGCAGTGAAATTTATGAAGAATTAAAAATTTTAAGAGAAAAAGTTTTTGAAGTTTCCAACAAAAACATTAGCATATCCGAAAACAGCATCATGGAAAAACCTCAAATGACAATTTCAAGCTTTTTTGCCAGACTTTTAGAACAAGATTAAATCAAAAGGAAAAATTTTGAGTTTTCACCCAAAGCCACCATCATATTTGAACCAGCATGGTATTAGGTTGTTATATAAGACTTGTTACACTTTATCTTACGGCGATAAGTCATGCTCCTCATAGTCTTTACCAAAGCAAGCTCTACAAAACAGTATGCAAAAGTTCGCACCAACTGCGACCCACTATGAGTTTGCACCCAAAATCTGAGTCGTACTGAAGGATCAAAAAACGCGAAAAATTCATATCTTCGCTCAAGAAAATTCTACAAATTTTCAGTTTGCTCATAAAAATTGCACACTATATCAGACACTCATATGTGCCGTTGCTGTATTTCTTCCTCATCTAGGAATCTAGAAATTGAAAATTTTCTTGTTTTTACGAAAACGAAGTTATGGTGTTTCTAGATATGTAGCTGTATACTACAAGCCCTTAGAAGAATAGCTGCAAAGTTTCAGCTTTCCAGAAGCACTAGTTTTCGAAAAACACCGAATTTAGCCTTTTTCATTCGGGTGTTCAATGCTCAATTAGGTAATTTTCGAAAACTAGGGCTTCTAGAAAGCTGAAAATTTACGGTTATACTTATTAGGGCTTGTAGTATACAGCTACATAAATAGAGACAGCATAGCTTTGTTTTTGTAAAAACAAGAAAATTTTCGTTTTCTCGATTTTTAGATGAGAAAAAATACAGCAACGGTACATGCGAGTGTCTGATATAGTGTGCAATTTTTATGAGCAAGCTGGAGATTTGTAGAATTTTTTTGAGCAAGATATGAATTTTTCGCGTTTTTTGAGCCTTCGGTACGACTCAGATTTCGGGTGCAAACCTATAATGGGTCGCAGTTGGTGCGAACTTTTGCATACTGTTTTGTAAAGCTTGCTTCGCTCTATCGAATGGTATTCTGGAGCCTTGCCAAGACTATGAGGTGCATGACTAATCGCCGTAAGAAATTGAAGTGTAACAAGACTTATGTAACAACCTAATAGATTATCCCTAAATACAAATTTTTACCCTAGTTGGACCAATTTCACTACTGAACTTTAAATTCAATTTTTAAAAGCAAAATCTGCTTGTCTTCGGTGCAAATTGGGTGCAAATTAGCGTTGCTGACAGTTATGACCTCTCATGCCCCCTGCTAATTACATGGCGGCATATCTCTCCGAGTAGATAAATTCCGTTCCCCGAGTAACACGGCTAACACTGGTAACACGGATAACACGATTAACACGAGTAACGCGGTCAAAGTATGGCCAAAGCCTAAGGCCCGTACGCACGTACATCCAGGGCTCGTCAAGAGGTGACTTTCCGAAAATGCAAAAAAAGATGTCCCTCAGAATCATCTACTACTTCTATCAATTTTATTAATTTTTTTGAAAATTCGAGCTACGGAGCTGGGAGTTGGCACAGAGGGAGGGATAATCGAGCATGCTGGTACCGGACACAATATTAGTTTTTAGTATCATCTACTACTATGTGAGCATTCAGATTATGAATACCATATTAGTTTCTGGAATTATTCATCACTTTTATCGATTTTATTGATTTTCTTGCGAAGTTTGAGCTACGGAGCTGGGACTTGGCACAGAGGGAGGGGTTATCGAGCATCCTGATACCGAATACAATATTAGTTTTCTAAATCATCTACTAATTCTACCAATTTTATTGATTTTCTTGGAAAATTCGAGCTAAGGGGCTGGGAGTTGACACTGGGGGGAGGCAGTACCGAGGGGGGGGGCGGGATGGGGGGGGGGGCGATACCGGACACACTATTAGTTTTTAGTATCATCTAAAAGTTTTATCGATTTTATTGATTATCTTGGAAATTTCGAGCTAAGGGGCTGGGAGTTGACAGTGGGGGGGGGGCGGGGCAGTACCGAGGGGGGGGGCAGGGATGGGCGGGGGGCGCGTCCCCCCCCCCCCCCCGAGAATGGGTCTCGAAATTTTTGAAGCTTACTTAAATGTGTTATAAAAATGTGCAAGCGACTCATTTTTACTTGTAAATAATTGAAATAATTTCTAAAAATTTTTGAAAATACAAATTAGCCTTGTAAAATTTTTTTTCGGGGCGTGGTCAGAATCCCGAAAAAATTTTGGGAAGCATCCCAAAATTTTTCGGAGTGCGTGGCTAACGACACGCACCTTCTTTAGAAAAAATTTTTGTCGCCTCCCCCCCCCCCGAGCCAAATTCCTGGGTACGCCACCTGGGGGGGTGGGGGGTATGTGAGCATGCTGATGACGAATACCATATTAGTTTCTGGAATTATTCATCGCTTTTATCGATTTTATCAGCTTTCTTGCAAAGTTTCAGCTATGGGGCTGGGAGTTGGCACAAGAGGTAGGCATGTTGATTAGGAAAACAAAACGGGAATAGGAAACTGGCATGTAGAAGTGGGTACAGGGAAATGTTGTACAGGATAGGGATAATGAGACTTATCATAGTGTGTTGAAAGGGCCGAGCGGAGCTGGGATGCCAGCTAGTCCGAAATATCGGAATCGACTAAAAACCCAATCTAGGACCCATAAAAATGACATCGTCTTTGATTTTTGTCCCAAAAACGATATCCTTGCTTATAAGCCAACTGTGCCGAGCCCTGCGTGCATCCCCGCTTATGGGGGAAAGCTGTAGAAAGAATGCCTCATATCTCGGTGTTTAGAACTAACTCTGATTTCGTTTTCCTCTCATTCTTGTGCTCACAAGGGATTAATCTCGACTTAAGGTGGCGAATTGGAATGAACCGCATATCATTAGAAGCGTCTTTACCAGCTGATTTCAAATAAACACGAAGAAGTGTTTTTGATCAACCAATTCTTGAGGTATGGCGCCGTATATCTGCCAAATATAGACTTTTCATTGCTCAAATCTCCTATCAAAGAAGTTTAGTTGTTTTTTAGTTGTTTAAAAACACTCACTTGTGTTTCTTTTGAATGTGAGCATTACTTGAAATCAGTGCACTCAATATCATGCTAGTCATGCACTCCCAAGTTGCTTAAACACATTATACATCGAAACCCCAGTAACTTCACATTTTTAAGAGCTTGTAACTTTTTGCAGAGAACGGCATCGCAGATAAGGAATGTAGATTTGGAATCAGCTCGTAAAGGCGCATCTAACGATAGCGATTCATTCCAATTCGCCACTTTAAGTTAGGATCGTTCCCTTGTCAGATACCTTAGCATAATGAATGGCAGCGCATTGCTACATAAGCTGAGTTTTCCGTCTTATGTGTCTCGTAAACAAAGTTGTCTATCTTGCTTGAAGCTGAGCATCCGATATCAAAGTTTTACTCTGCTTGTGATAAAAACAGGTGAAGTGTTAAAATCATAAAATTGCTTTAAACTACACTCTTAAACGATGTTATCGATAAACTTGAACTTTCGACCTTTCATTTGTCCGAACGGAAAAATGCTTACATTGCTAACATCGGAATGAAAGACATTCAGCGCAATACCACGACCATTTCTAAGTTCAAAAAAAACTTTGAAAATGGATCTGATCCTAAGTAGTACGGATCATAAAATTGTGAAAAGTACAGCTTATGCAACATGTGCTCTCTTTTATGTTTTTTTTGTCTTTATGCTAATGCTGGGGTAGTAAAGGCTTCCGACAGATGGGTACAGTCGAGTAGATTTTTCGCTTAATATAGTGTGCTTGCACAGAAGGTGAATTGCGATAAAATTTGCGCGTGAGGAATTAGCTTTGACTGTGACGCCAACCAGTTGCGCGAGCAAAATGCCGGCAGTGCTAGCGCAGCTACCTGTTCCACGCGCTAATTCTACCGCATTTCATAAACTGTGCATGCCTACTATATTAAGCGAAAAATCTACTCGACTGTGAAAAACGAAGGATGTAGGCTGCTCAGTGTATTAGTAACCGCTGTATAAGTCTAAGTCGTTCCTCACAGCTCTTCCAGCACAATTGTGCGCCTAAGGTTCAATGTGCGACTACATCGAAGCCTTTCACTTATTGTTCTGAGCTTCAGCTCATTATAAGAAGTTTACAATTCAAAAGAAATAAAGGACTAATGTTCACAGAAAACATACCTAACAATCTTGCGATAACTTGTAATGAAAGTTTGCTGGAGCAGTTGAGACACGCTCAAAAAATTTAGTCTACCGTTCAAACTAAAAGAGCTGTATGGTCCAGTGCTCGCTTTACATTCAGCAACATTGACATGTTCGCTACATCTTTAGTTTCATTGAATGCAAGGTCCTGCGCAAACCTGTGGCAGTTTGCGTATTTCCTGTAATTGTCTTTTTCGAAAGAGCACTTGAGCTTCGCTCCAGGAGGTGCCATACAATCCTTTTCTAGTGCACATAATACGTCCCTGAATTGACAATAATTTCTAAAAAAAAATTGATTGTGTTTCAAAGATAATACCACTTCATTAGCTGGACAGTATCTGCAGTTCTAACCGCGAAAGCGAATCCAGCAGCATAACATTCGTTCTTCTTCAGTTCTTCCGTGTTCGTTGGAAGGTATTCGTATAGCCCTATGAAGTTGAAAAATTTAGATGACTTAAAAAAATCGACATGCAAATGGGAAAAGACTCAAAACTTGTCTTACCTTAGAACTGGTTTTTCTGATAATTTATTAACAACAATTTATTACAAGCTCAAGCTGAAACAAGTTATAAGACCGAACTCGTGGTATGTTGTAGAAAGTTTGACTTTAATTCAATAAGCTGACAAATTGTTGCTTTAGTACACTGAAGCTGTAGATCTATCGATACCTCATTCTGCAGCCAACTAGAACCGCAAAGTCACTTCTAGAGTACCGAGATACTGTTTTCGCGCGCCAAATGCCATTTGAAGGCAATGTCCAGGCAAATCTCAGTGTATGGGATTTTTCCTAAAAACTGATGAGGAGGTTCTAGCTAAGGCACTGCTTACACCTCGGCGCATATAATTCATTCACGACAGAGAAATCCACTTCCAAACATCCGCGGCTGCGCCGTGACCGTAACACTTAGAATGGGTATGCGCGAACATAGTGTTAAAGTAAGCGAAGTCGTTTTTGTGTTACGGTCGCGGCGCAGTCGCGGAGTTTCCGCGGACAGATTTCTCAGCCGTGAATGAAATTTGCGCTGCGGTGCCTTAGTTAGGATCCCTAATCAATTTCCAGGCGAAAAACCATCTGCCCAGATTTGCTTAAACACTACCTTCGAGTGGGGTTGCACCTTTCACTTTCGCCTCAGTGACTGCTGCTCTGATCATTTTACTAGATGTTTGCAATCAAAGCTCTTGATAATGTAAGATAACAGTCTGCTAAGTTTAGAATATGTGTGTTTTATCTATTCCTACTCATCTACTCCAATTGCCCTTATTGGCGTAGTGTTTTATTCGTTACGAGCTGGCATCCCGGGTTCCACCCCGTTGTGGAGCCAATCCATCGTGCTTGACCTCTCATGTACGAAATTTACCCTTCTTTAAATCCCACTCGCTTTGGGTTCGCTTCCTACCGTCCTTACCATATCTTGAAGACCACCAGATCAAAATGAGCTTTGCCGCTCATCCCTCATGGGAATATGCACAGACACACAAACACCCAGATTTTCTGCTTTAAATATATAGAGAAACGAAAATTTTAGCATTTGGGTACGAAGTACGATCGTCTCCTATATGTATCACAAGAGCACTGTACAAGTCACATGCGACTACGAAAGTGATAGATAGATAAGTTACGTTGCTACTGACTGATTGCTTTCTTCATCAATGCAAACAGCTGAGTAAGAAACTGTTGCAAGTTTTAATTTGTTCCAAAAGTAAACCGTTTTTTGAGTAAAACATTTTGCTTTTGTTTCATTAAACAGACTTGGGGTATCGATAGAGTAAAGCAAGTTTTATAAAATGACCACATGTCCATCTAAGTCGTGCCAAGGTAGAGTTTGGTAGAAAAATACTTAAAAATTACAATTATCTCCAAAACTGGACATCCTTTTAGAGTTCCTACGAACTTTCACTTGGTCATCATGCATTAGGCACATACTATACTCTTGAATACACCTACTAGATTATTTCTGCTGCTCAAAATTTAGGAAACAAAAACGGTCCGAGATGCAAAAGTGCCACTTTCTTCGTGTTTTTCATGTTGAACTCAATATTTCTCGATTACCAAAGCACAAATAAACTTATAATTTTGCGATGCACTAATTCAGGCTTGTTGTATACAATCACATGTGTGAGGAGCTGGGGATCCAGCAAATGAGTACTACTATGTATCTTCTGTATGATGACCAGTTTGGGCCTCACATAATTGTTTTTCGTAAAAACCCGAATTTTTAAATGATGAAATTTTCTTCGATTTTGGCACAAAAGTTTACTTGGTTATGACTTGCATAAATCTTTTTGGACGTAGAGCTTGCCTTATGCTATTGAATTCTACCCTAATCATTTTGAAAGCAATAAGAGTTTGATAGTTTGAAATAACGATTAACTTTTGGGACAATCTATTAGGTTAGAAACTAAGTTTTGCAACTCATCCAATAACTTTACTTTTTCTCAACATGACGCACTCAAATTTTGCCAATATATAGATTATGACAAAAGCTATAAGCACAGCTGCTGTTCCGCCAAATTTTGACGTCGCAGTAGGAATTACGGTAGGTATATGGTATGAAGGGAAAAATTATAAGTTAATAAGGATTTGGCTGGAAGTTGGGGTAGGGAGGTTATCCGACATGCTGTTCACGAATAACATGCTGAATTTGCATGATAAGGGCTTTTTGCAAGATTACTGTTGCTTGACGGTAAGGGTGTCATTCTAAACGATAGAAAAGACGTTAATCCAACAGATGAATATGATTTTCGTGTTTTGCAGGTCGAATAACCTCACTGTGTAGAGTCTTGGCGGATAACAGTGTTCCGACTCCTTCATTAATGGTTGTTTTACTAGCCTTGCGTACCTCAACTTCGTGAGGGCGCCACATTTCGAACTGTCTTTCAGTTTTGTTCCTTCCCTACTAAGCCAAATGGGTTAACCTCAAGCAATAATTCACATGCAATTTCGGATCACTGTGCATGATTGGTTGCGAACGGCTTTATTTTTGCTCATAACCTCACAAATCCTCGAAATTCACTGGTTTTTAAAAAATGCTTGTAATTTTTTAAATTCTTTCTTAAAAATAAACCAGTTTGCGCGCAACTGTAGCACACGTTCAGATGTACATACAGTCAAAGTTTGAATGCGCTACGTTCAGTGAGAATAAAGTTATGAAAAGCAGTTGCAAAACTTAGTTTCCAACTTAATAATAAATAAAAATTTGAAGCTCTTTTATTGGTATCGCTTTAAAGTAGAGGAGTATCTGCAGAATGGGAGTTGCCAGGTTTCATGAATTGCAATGGTTCACATCTCAACCAAGAAATTAATGGAATCCGAGGAGCAGAATTGTATACAAATCTTGAATCGCCCAGGTAGCATTTCATTCTTCGATGTGCCCACTCGTCCAGCAAATTCAAACTGCAAGCTAGAGCAGCATGCCGTACATATGATTAGGTGGTTTCACGGTGACTCTGCTTCAGTATCTTAGATTCATTTGCTCTATACGTTTACTAAAATTTTGGTGCCTCAAAAATACCGTTTTTGGCATTTTTGCGCCTATTAAACTACCTAATTTCACGAGTACAAAACGCCCTTGTTTTTCTCTAAACTTCACCAGCGAAATACATTAAAAAAAGCGACTGAAGGACTTTCTACCGTGCTGCTCCTTACTCAAAGTACTGTGTGGAAGGGCGAGCATTTGGCTAATCACAGTGGTGCGACCGAGCGGTTTGTTTAAAAAATTAAAAAAGTGCGTCTTGTACTCATAAAATTAGAGTAATCTGAACCCGGAGAAGGGGGGAGGATTGCCTTCCGAAAATCTTTAGTTCGGCATATTGCCTAAACTGCATTTGATACGCGTTGAGCTATAGAAAAACTATCTATGAGCTGTGTGAAGTTTGATTGAAGCGTTTGTTCTGAACAATAACGTGTACGAGTTGTTGAAAGCGTAGGCTTTTCAAGCGCTACATGGCTGTCATAGACAACATCGCATGTTTACCTCCAGATGCGATGTTCAAAGTAACGATGAAGACAAGAAATTAGAGGAGAAATTTGAGGTTGACCAACCATAGTACTCACAACAATCGCTATCGAAAGTTACTATAAACAACATCACTTTTTGTTTGTACGCATTGAGGTGAGATCCTTCTTTTGAATCACTGTAGTAAACACAACAAGTACTTGTTTTACTTGCTCTGGTTTCCTTTTTCTATACCCTTGATATGCCAAATGCTTTGAAAAATCTCCCCACAAATTAGTGTTCAAATGCGACATTAAAATATGCGTAAGTTATAATGTTGATAATGCAGTGGAAGTCCAGAGCAATTTGCAGAAATCCCTAGATAAATTGAATATACCTAGGCTGAAACTTGGAATCTAACTTAATTTGCACAAATGCTCTATTTTCCATCTTGGAGAAGAAAATTAGATCAGTTCACCCCAATGGCACCGTGCTAAAAATTGTGAAATCACGAATGTTTAGGAGTTCTTTGACTTCAAACTTAGCTTCACTGAACATATTAGGTTGGTACATGAGTATTTTTAAAGAAGGCATCCATTTTTTCCTGATGTAAACTTCAAATGCAGAATGTTCTTGCCGATTTTGGCGTTTTGGGTAAGGGTCACGGTAGATTTGCGGTATAATGGGAAAATTACTAGATTGCATCAGATTTCTCTGAAACTTGGCCTATAGAGGTATTCGACAAGCTGATCACAAAAATAAGACCCGTTTCGCACAAAAAGGGCTCTTTTGTAAGCTCACGGGAAGAATTTTTATCCTGGCTACAAATGAATATAATATTCGTGTTTATCATATAGGATACTCTAATGTGCAGAGTTTCAATGAATTCTGGCTTACCGCGGCTTACTCATTGATAGATGGCCCTCCAAATTTGACGCATCTGACTTGTTCATCTTTTCAAAAGCGCCACATCCTGATTTGTCTTTGAATTTCACTTCCTTTTTACTAATTCCAATGTGTCAACTTTAAGCTACATGCTGCCTATAATTGCTTTTTGATATGTTTGACTTGGGTTTTGTACGGCTTCTTGTTAAAAAAAAGACAGAAAACCCTGAAACCTCGATTTCCAGAAAATATCAAAAATTTGAAGGTTTGAAGGCAGCTTACATCCCAATTTACATGATGCCAGAAATGAGATTACTACGTAAAATAAGAAAAAATTACGGAATAAGTTGCAAAATTTATGTACCAATCTAATACCAACATGGTGGTCAAAAAGACATATGCCTCATTGTTTTCACTTTCTTATAGTGCTAAAACATTGCTCTAGAATCCTGACTTCGGTCCATGAAACTTTGTACTTCCACAGATGGAATATTGTTGATATGGTCTCCATTCCGCAAAAAACATACCGATAAACTTGACAAGGTGCAACAACTTTTTATAAGGCTTCTATTCAAACGTCTCTACCCGAGATAAATCCACCATCCAGTTACGAAGTCTCCATGAATTTCATTTGAAAAAATTCATTTTCCACGAGTATTATTAGACCTTAACTTTCGCATTCAAGTCTTAAGAAAAGGGTACGGGCTAAAAGCAGTAAACTAGTTTCATCCCTACAAGTGAAAGATGGGGGGGGGGGAGTGGTGGGAGGGTTTTCATTTGCATTATCTAAGGATTCGACTTGGAAAACATCAGCAGGTGTCTAATGATTTGTTTTACAGGACAGCAACTCAGATAATCGCCGGGGGCAGGCGGTCCGCAAACTCGCGCTTTTCTGCAGGCGGTCAGCAGGATTTCGGGGCGCGGCCAAATCTTCAGCGGGCGGTATTTGCGTTTTCTGCAAGCGGGCATCAATACAAAATTTTCTGCAAGCGCTCGTCAAACAATCTCTTTCAGCGAGCGCTGGCCAAACTTTCAGCAGGCGCTCAGACTTTTTTTACGCAGTTTCGGGCGTACGCCGAGAAAAGATGGGACTCTATGTGGCACAGATGCCATCGATGGTTTTATTACCCAAGTTTGGGGTACTTTCTTTCAGCGCAAAGTACCTGAGGGCTGTGCGGTCCTTCAAAAAGGACCGTGCGGCTCTCAATAATTTTGCATGTTCTCGCGGAAAATCCGCGAGAATGCGGCCACTGTGCCGCAACTTATGTATAGAAAAACCGCGATAGATCTTCGAGCATTCGTCTAAAAATTGGCCAAAATTATTCCAAATTT